CCCTAACCCTAACCCTAACCCTAACCCTAACCCTAACCCTAACACTAACCATATCAGCTAGATAGTTACCAGGGTACGTTTCAGCAGTACCCTGGGGGACATAGACCCTATGAGCAGTACTAAGTACTACTAGTAGTGCTGATAGGGTCTATGTCCCCCAGGGTACTGCCGGAACGTACCCTGGGTACGGTCTGGTATACCGGAACTTACCCTGGTACTAAATGCCAGGGTACAGTCCGGTACATATATCTAGATATATATAGATATCCATCTTATATGCCGGACCATACCTCGCCTACTCCACTAACGAGTCTAAGGAGTCGCCTACGCCTACTCCCTAACCCTAACCCTAACCCTAACTCTAACCCTAACCCTAACCCTAACTCTAACCATAACCCTAACCCTAACTCTAACCCTAACCCTAACCCTAACCCTAACTCTAACCCTAACCCTAACCCTAACCCTAACCCTAACCATATCAGCTAGATAGTTACCAAGGTACGTTCCGGTATACCGGACCGTACCCAGGGTACGTTTCGGCAGTACCCTGGGGGACATAGACCCTATGAGCACTATAGTAGTAGTAGTAGTACTACTACTGTAAAGTCGCTTATTTTCGTTATACACGTTTGTGGGTTCTTAAATTCGTGGATCAAGCCTTCCAGGAAATTGTTTTTGTTTAAAAACAATAATTATAATATCAACAAACAGATTACTAACCTGAACTTATACTATAGTTATACTGTTATAGTACACGAGCATGTCGAGGTTGTTGATAGTATATATTACTAGTACGCACAGACGGCAGGCGTCGGTTTGCGAGCCTCCACTCCGGAACCGGCAATTGACATATGATATGTACATAATATTTTGTTGGCTACATAAATTCGTGGATTGCTGGACCCACGAAATCCACGAAAATTAGAACCCCACGAAAAAAAGGATTTTACAGTATGTGGCAGCCAGTAGAACTAGTACTACTACTAGTGCTACTAAATATAACATAAGATAAAACACAGAAAAATCAAAGGCAAATGCGATACTGGTAACTTGTGGAATTACAGTTTTTGGTGCTGGGAATTGGCTCAGTGGTCTATGGCTGAATAAGAATGAGATTATTGAGATCAGTGGTTCTCATGAAGGCTTAATCAGCTTAGGAATAGGAGTACTTTCCTTGCATATAGTTACTAAAGCTAGCAGCACACTTCACCATTGCTCGTACAGGCAATTTTCGTGGTCGGCAATTTTTGTGGCCGTTGCCGCGTCACAGCACACTTCACCACAAGTTGCCACCACGAGCAATTTTCGTGGTGAGAAATCAAACTGGTTTGATTCTCGGCAACTCGTGGTCACCACTAAATTTCCGTGGTGAGTGGTCGTTGCCGGCCCCCGCACACTTGGGCATTTTTGTGGCGACCACGAAAATTGTCTGTATGAGCAACGAAAATGGTGAAGTGTGCTGCCCGCTTAAGATAGAAGCAAGAACGTTACTTGCTAGGCTGTCGCTAATACTAATAGGCCTTCTATAGGTTTGCAGGCGTTGTTGTTCACGTAGCTTATTTGTCAACTATTAGAATATGCGTATAGGCTATACAATATTAATTTTATCCATAGAAGTACACTCGAAGACATGCGAGAGTTACAAAAACTGCGAAAGCGGCCAGAAGGAGTTAGGTAGGTATACATATAACAAGATTATAGCTTCAGTTTTTATTTATAACTTGTGTTCCATTGCAAAACAATGGGTAAACTTTGTTGATTTTTGAGTTGCACATTTTTCTAATTGATGTATTTTTAGCAACATCAATGTGTGTTTCTGTAGTGGCCTATAATTTAGGAAAAGTCCATAATGCAATGTATGATATTTTTTATGATGATGCATTGTGTCATGCATTGTTGTTATCTATACAGTGCCGTGGGATTGGCTGTTGGAAAGAAGGTGAAAAAGGAGGTTGATGGCGTTGATGAGATCGATCCATACAAATTAAAACACGGAGGCTTCATTGATATGAAAAAAATTAAAGACAGAAACAGGGACAGGTAACACGTTCATTCTTTGCATGCTGAAGTATTTTTCTGTCTAAGTCATTATTAGTAGTATTTGACAGATTTCCTTCATGTATTTTGGGCTTCAGAATGTCTTTGTCATCTGATTGTTGTGAGCACTAACTTTATCATTACCATTATCATAGCTGTCATTAATGACTAGATTCAGTATCATAATCATTATCTGTATCATCATTAACCTAAAAATTAAAAATAATCATTATAATAATAGAAATATATGATCATGATAAGTGTTATTAACATTATTTCAGAACGGACGAAGATGAGAACAGAGATGTTACAGACATGGGCGTTACTTTCTCTGCAGAAACAAATCGAAGAGATGAGGATGCTGACATGTAAGCAGCAGTTGGCTTATTTTATTGATACTGATATCCATGTTGAATTAATATTCATAAATACTGTGCATTTTACAGGAACTCTAGAATGGAAGATATATAATTTTATCAAATGGTTATTAATAGTCTAATAGTGTTTTTGTGACTTTGAATTTAACTTGCCTTTGAAATGCCAACTGAATTTTGAGAGACTGGCAATAATGCCATGATTTGTTGTCAGTAACCAGTGCACAAGGAGATAGGAGATACAGCGAGGAGTTACCTTATACTTAACCTATATAACCTACATAACCTTTTCGTCAAGGTTTTTTTCGCGCAACCTAAACGCGCGTGGCCGCAACAATGACCCGAGCAGCCGCGCCGCCGGTCCACTAACTACGATGCGACAACTCTCACGTCATTCTTATGTTTCAGGCAGAAGTACATTGAGCAGCAGATGGCGCTGAGGTTGCTCGGCGACCAGACTGCGGCGGAGCAGGGAGAGGGCCTGCCGCCGCTGGACGACGCGATGCTGGCCGTGTCCGAACACCTGCGAGCGTCGCACGCGAAGAAGTCCGAAGACATGCTGTCCAATCAGATGCTGTCCGGAATACCGGAAGTCGACCTCGGCATCGAGTACGCTGTTCCCAACATTCGATGTTACATTATGTATATATATATATATATATATATATATACATATATTCAGGAGTCTATCAAAAGGAGTAAGGCACGCTAAAACCGGCAAAATTCAACATTTAGTAGCCTTAGTCTACCTATGATTTATTGTGTTTACCTCGATAAACTTGAGCTCAAGTATTGCCTTAATCATTAAACTTTATCCGTGTCTAATCGTTGGTCTCATAAAAATGACAAATCCGGAGATATCGGTTCAAACGTACAATGTGGTTTTATCAATTTACATCGCTTTGTGATGATCAGTGAACCGAAACATAAGGGCAATGCTTTTGAAGGCCCTCTATCGTTTAGAAATGCAAACATAGCAAAGAACTAGCGAGGTTTGCTAGGGATTTCGGAAAGTTAAACACGACGTGGTGTTATTGATGCTATTTACATTAGAAATAAAAAATTTCACATGTTTAGTATTTTTATCCATTTTATTTGTTCTTAACAATATTGTTCATAACATGTAATTACTGTCATTCGACATGGCCTATAATAACAACAAGGCGTGTTTAACTTTCCGAAATCCCTAGCAAGCCTCGCTAGTTCTTTGCTATGTTTGCATTGCTAAGCGATAGAGGGCTTTCAAAAGCATTGCCCTTATGTTTCGGTTCACAGTTGTTGATTTCATGGTATAACTTTCTAAAACCACATTGTACGTTTGGACCGATATCTCCCGATTTGTCATTTTTGTGAGACCAACGATTAGACACGGATAAAGTTTAATGATTAAGGCAAGACTTGAGCTCAAGTTTATCGAGGTAAACACAATAAATCATAGGTAGACTAAGGCTACTAAATGTTGAATTTTGCCGGTTTTAGCGTGCCTTACTCCTTTTGATAGACTCCTGATATATTATATAATTATATAATTATTGCCTAATTGCAAAGGCAACGTGGAGTTTTGTGGACTAAGAAAATCAATGGTCTTGGACTCTTGGGCAATATTGATTCCCGATGTCAGGATTTTCAATAATAACTGTCGAGTGACCATAGTTCTGGATTGCTCCACCATGAAGGTGGCATTTGATGATAGATATTTTTTCTGTTGCACAGTGCAAAAATCAATAACATCGAGTTGACAGAACTGGCGAGAAAGAAACTCATCGAAGAGAGGAAGAAGAAAAAAGAGAAGCCATCACAGTTTGTGCCGACGAATGTGGCTGTCAATTTCGTACAGCATAAGAGATGTAAGGAAATTTTAATAGGTTGGATTGAATGAGCTCTGTATCGTAGGTTTAGTTTTATATATCTCCATTGCACTTATGATATGTCTCGTTGCCGAATTAAGAATGTAACTATATATAGTCCTTTATTACAGCAGTGTTTTGTAGTTATTAAGCTGTGTCTCCACACACACGGCACGGCATGGCACTGTAACATCGGCGTTCACCCGTTCCGGCAAAATTCAAATCTATATATATCTTATGGCGCAGTCTCCACTGACACGGCACGGAGACGGCAAAAGTCAAATGAGTTTGATTTTTGCCGGATGCCGGGTACGGCAAAAGATAATTGAACCGATCAACGCGATTGTTTTTATCACGTGTTCGGCTCACACCACCGTCAGTGCATCGCAGAAGCATGAAGGAGGTAAACCTGGATGAACAACTAATTGTACTTGTTCAAGACCATCCGGAATTGTACGATATCGGCAGCAAGAGCTACAAAGATGTACAAAGACGTGATCATGTTTGGAGCGAGATAGGAGAGATTTTGGGGAAAACTGGTGAGTAATAAGTGGGTAATACTGATTATATTTGTTGCTTTACAGGCATAGAAAATACATAACACATAGGATTTTGTGTCCTTTTAAATCATTTAGCATTTGTAGGTTTTCAAAATTGTTATACAATCAAGCAGCAGTTGTGTTTTCTACTCTATCTATTAAACACGTTATTTTTATTATTAAACATGAATTAATGTTCTAATCAGCTGATCATGGATTTCTAGTGTGGTAATCCCCGTCGAACAACATTCCTCTGTCACTCGACCTGTCCCGTGGGTGACAGAAAGTATTCCTTGAATCTTTCACGAACACTAAAGGCTTCAATCGTTGCATTATTGTGCCGTCTCCCTTGATTATGTAGTTTCTGGAAAATTCCTGATCCAGTGTTTTCACTTTCATCTGATGAAACTGCATTAATTGCAGCTCATATGGTCTATGTCCCCCAGGGTACTGCCGGAACGTACCCTGGTATAACTATATGATATGGTTAGGGTTAGGGTTAGGGTTAGGGTTAGGGTTAGGGAGTAGGCGTAGGCGACTCCCTAGACTCGTTAGTGGAGTAGGCGAGGTACGGTCCGGCATATTAGATAGTACCAGGGTACGTTCCGGTATACCGGACCGTACCCAGGGTACCTTCCGGCAGTACCCCGGGGGACATAGACCCTCTCAGCTTAATTGCAGGTATCCCTGTGGTGTTTTGCTGAAGAAAGTTATGTTGCACGCAAGTAGCTTTGATCACACGTTCCAAAGATTCTGGATGCATTTGTATGTGGCGATGGTAGATGCGCCACCTTGCAGCCAGTATCCCAAATGTATTTTCAACTATATATCTTGCGCGTGAAAGTCTGTAGTTAAAAATGCTTCTGTTGTCTGATAAGTGTTTTCCTGGGAGGTGCTACTATGGAGCTGCCTGTATTATGACATGCTTGCCATCAGTCACGCCTGTGCAGTTTGCCAATTGCCACAACTCCTGGAAATTTGCAGCAATTGCTTTCCAATGTTCCATTGTATGTACTGGCATGACTATAGGCTGCAAACAATTCCAGACCACTTGACAAGTAGTTCGCACAATGCTGTAAACTGTTTGTTTCCCCAGCCTGTATGAAAAAGCAAGACGTGAGAAGGAATCACCTGTAGCCGAATACCTGAAATAAAATAAACAGGCTATATGATAATCGCTTTAGTATGTAATACTAAACTAATAAACTATTGCAGGCAGATATTGCAAGGCTCACTGGACGAATCTCCGTGACTCATTCAACAAGTACCTGAAAAAGATGAAGGACCAAAAGCGAAGTGGGTCCAAAGCAACTAAAGTCAGAGAATACAGATATGCACAACAGCTGTCTTTCCTTCTGCCTTTCCTGCAAACTAGGCCGTATGTTATTATGAATATGCTACTCGTATTCCTATACTGATGTATTTAACAATTGGACGTATGTAAAAAGTTATACATTTTCTCCAATACATGCTGCAATACGAGGAGTGCTCTGGTTGAACAGCAAACCTTGTGACAAACATTTTTGGTGTATTATGATTTTGTTTTCAATAAATTTTTTTTAAATAACCATCATACACCTTTTCAGTAAATGTTTGATAGGTTAGTAGCTTTATATTCTAACCATATGTTTCGTAAAAATATTTTTTTTAAACCGTTGACCGACTAATAGTTAATAAATATTCCTCATCTCCCTTTACCAATTTTGAAAACAAAATGTCAGAAATGTCTAAATGATTGCGTGACAGCTACTGTAAAATTTAAGGTGAAAAATCAATAACCTGTCAGTACAGATAACAAAACTGCCGCCACTCCATACGTGCGTACTGATTCGTGCCTTTTCTTGGACGTTTTTAGAACTTCTTCAAATGTGACAGCTACTGAGAGCAGTGATGAAGAAGCAGAGAGCGTAGGATCCACTGCACGTTCTGTTTCTCCATCTGATTCTTCAATGGCTAGTGCTACACCTTTGCCACCACCGTTGCCAACCACCGTTGTTGACAGATGCGAAACACCATCGCCATGTGTCTCAACAATAGTCTGCAAGACTTGTAAAAGGAAATGGGCTGACGGTGATGTGTCTAAAATTATACATTTTTTACACCAACGTCAAGAAGTCGAAGAAAAGAAAAAGAGTGATATTGAAACGTTTTTTTATTCAATGGGACAAACTTGCCAAAAAATGCAACCAAAATACCAAAGACTATTTAAAAGAAAGGTCTTTGATGCTTTATGTGCGGTGGAAGATGGCATTGAGCAATCTTCAGAAATGACAATTCCGCACTCTAACTTCGTAAATCCCCCTTCTGCACATTTACTGAACACCCCATCTCTACCTCAGGTTCTGTGTTACCAGCAGTACACAGCATCTGATGAAGGCGAATACATCGAATGAGAAAGGTTAAAAATAAAAAATTGAGCACTTTGAGAACCTAAATAACTGTTTTTGTAGCCTTTTATGGTGTATGATGGGAAATGGGCAATGTTTAGTAAATGATGAAATGTGCTTGACATACATACTATCTCATACTAGAAAATGTTCCTCAGATAAAACAATTTTGAATTGGTGTGCATCGTTTCAGCGACAATAATTATTGGTGTACGTTACTACAAGGGCGCAACCACGTGTTGAAAGTTGGTGGGGTCCCAAGCAGCCAATAGCAACGTGATCTGCGGGCAAGCGAATATCACGTATTGGTTCAATATTACGTATTTCAGCGTGTTGATGGAAGTTTTGCATAATTGTGATGTCATGAATGACATTACTAGGATCATGTATACATAAAATACCAAAATGTTTTATTAATTAGATTAAGCTAACTAGTAGTAAAGCTACACACCGACTGTGCTAACTGTGTGACACAGTTAGCATGATTAAGATGAAGAGGAAAATAATAATGATGAAAATAATAATGCAAAAAAATGTCTGACAAGTGAAAACAGAGAACAGTGTTAGAAACCAAATGTGACAATTGCTTCAATATCGATTCCAGAACACGTGATAAAAAACAATCGCGTTGATTGGTTCAATTGTCTTTTCGCCGTCACGTCAGCCGGCAAAAGTCAAACTCATTTGACTTTCGCCGTCGCCGTGAAACCTGGCTGGCGCCGTGCCGTGTCAGTGGAGATCGACTGCGCCATAAGATATAATAGTTTTGAACTTTGCCGGTAGGGGTGAACGGTGTCGCGCCGCTTGTGTGGAGATGGGCCTTTTTTTAGTGTCTATAACACAACACAGCGTAGCTATATAGACACGGTTGGCTTGCGAACTCGTGGTGAATGTCGTGCTCGTTCCATGCACGTGAGATTGAATGTACTATGTAGGTCGAATCTAAATGATATTAACAAGGGTTCTATTTAGATATCTGAATCTGAATCACAGTTAACACACTGCACTTGACCACCTGGGGTTTTTATTTATTTTAACTTTCACCGGTGAAATATGGATGTTTTACGATAATAAACGCTTATCGGACTATTTTGGACCTCCCCAGAAAATAAGGTCTTCCAGAAGTTGGGGAGGTCCACATAAAAGTCGGGGGGGTCGTGACCCCCCCGACCCTCCCAGTGGTTGCGCCCATGCGTTACTACTCCAAAAATAGTGCGGTAGGCACGTGTCCTTTGTGACCCCTCCCTGGTTTTGCCACCCGTGAAAACAGGCAATTGTCACCTTTGTGATGTATGGAGCAACAAGCTCATGCAGCTGCTCAAATTGGGTTTTTGACATTTTAAAGTAGGCTTTAAAGCACTCCTCATCTTTTTCCAATTCTTGAGCCAATATGTTAAATTCTCCTAAAGTAGATCTTGTTTGATAGTACTGTGTATCCAATACCTGTGTTTTCGTTTTCTTTTTCTAATCGGTGCCAATGTTAGTAACGAAGACAAAGGACCATTCATCTTTGTAGGCTATATACTCGTGAAAATGCTCTCGTTTTCGCACTCAAACACAATGCACTTTTCAGCACGGCGAACCGAGCAGGTGGAGACGGAAGCACGGCACGGCAACGACGCGGCGTTTTGCCGTGCCGTGCCGTGTGTGTGGAGACAGCTTTAAGGCCCGTCTCCACGCACGCGGTACGACACAACACAGCAAAACGCAGCACCGTTGTGCTGAAAAAAAATACATTGTGATTTCGCGCATTGTGTCTGAGCGCATTGTGTTCACTCTGGTTCAGTGATCAGAAATTATGCATGTGCTTATTGTTCATTGGCTGATGGTAGCGTGAGCAGAACACGTGATAAAAAACGCGTTGATTGGTTCAATTGTCTTTTCGCCGTCACGTCAGTCGGCAAAAGTCACTCATTTGACTTTCGCCGTCGCCGTGAAACCCGGCTGGCGACGTGCCGTGTCAGTGGAGACTGCGCAATAACATGTAATAGATTTAAACTTTGCTGGTAGGGGTGAACGACGTCGTTTCCGTGGCGTTCCGTGCCGTGCCGCGTGTGTGAAGACGGCCTTTAGCCGTTTGACTAGTGGTGACCTCTAGTGGGAATAGTCGAGCAAATATTGCATGAGAACGTGGGACCAAGTTGAGTAGACAATTAAGACTCATGCTATTTTACAAAAAGTATTATTATGAGCTGAAAGCTTGTAAGGAAATCATGGTGTTCATCTGGGTAGTATAAAGATTTATTTTTATTTATGGTATAGGCCAATCTTACATGAGCCTTACTTTGAATTATATGATTACATTCCTTTCTTTACCAAAATATATACATAATATGTGTTATAAATAAATACTAACAGTCTAACATATCTCCTGATGTGTCAGAGGATGTATAATGTTCAGTTTGAGATGTCTCAGTTCTAATATATGATAAATTCTTCTGAACTTCATATTGTCTTTACAGTTAATATTGAAGAGCAAGCAACTTTGGCAAAGAAGGTAGAGCCAGTGAAGCAACGCCCATTGGTGGTAGGGGATGCAGACCCAGCCAGCGACCAAAGCAAACGTGGTAAATTATGTGCAGCAAATTATAGTTTAGGTTAATAATAATAATAATAATATTATTATTATTATTATTACGAACAATAATAGTTGCCAAGTGTTTCAGAGCTGAATGTGTTTCTTGTATGCTTTTTTTTGTATAATTGGCAGACATGCTTTATACAAAATGAGTGGTCAGTTTAGTAAGTCATCATAAGTTCAGTAATACTAATCTTTCATTACGTTTTACTGCGATCTTAGTTTAATGGTGAAGCTGATTAGCTCTGGTAGACACATGATATCATCATCAATAGTAGTAAGCAGCACTTTTCTGTCTTGCAGATTGGAAAGGCGGTAGTGGTAAGGAGCCGTCTGGAAAACGCAATGTGGAGAAAGCCACCGATGATTATCACTTCGAGAAATTCAAGAAGCATATGAGAAGATACTAGGTTGGCTGTGCGTTTGCTTGAATGAATGAATGAAAGAATAAATGAATGAGTAAATATTCGGATGTAAATAATCCCGTAGCATAAACGATTTTTCCATTGTATGTTTTGTGCTGGGAGTTAGAATCTTATATTGGTCTGAATTGCGTCATGTTTAGCTCATCTGACATAGTTAGATGCAGCTTGTAGAATCGCATGAGCGTCCGTCCGTCCGTGCGTTCGTGCGTGCGTCCCTCAACAGATATGGCACAAATCTTAACCGCTTGACGTACGGTCTTGATATTTAGGACGTCGGGAGGGCATCGCGAAAAGGACTCGGGATGTCGAATTTGGGGGGTCAAGGGTCAAAGGTCAAGATGTGTCAATGGAGGGGGAATTCTATAGTGTCTGATAACCTTTTGACCTTCAAGAGGAGGGTTAAACATTGATTTGTTGACTGTTAACAAAGGACTGAACTGTGTTTGGTGGTACTTGTGTGATCGTGGAAGACTTAAATTTCACAGTGAAATTCTGCATGTAAAACTTACTTGAACAACGTTTACGCTCTTTAAATCATATATGAACTTCATTCTCTATATAAGATTCTGTACATTGGGAATACAATGTCAATAGCACTTACGCAAACGTCTGTTTTTGATTCAGGCCAACTATAAATACCTCGCAGGTGGGTGGCTGATAGTAATTGCATGGGCTAAACGAACGTAGCATCTAGCTCTGATTATATATTTTCTGCACCTAGTCGGTATGCACGCCATCTATCAGAACAGAGTGAGAAGAATGTCCCGGCAGGATAGGTAAAATGTATTGCGCTCAAAGGTGCAGAAAGAATTACTTTCTTAACTTCAGTTTAACCAATCTTGAGATATGTAATTGCAGAAATGAATCAACAAACCTACCAATGAAAATTCATTGGCACGTCCTCCACACAAACAAATCGATTCATAGCCCTGTCCAGTATTCATGCATTGTAAAGTTCTTCATTTTACTTCAAAGTCACACTTGGGTATTTCTTACCCAGGAATAACTACTCTATAGCACGTTATGTACTAAGAAAACGGCATTCTTCGGCAATACAAAAATACAAAAGTAGTCGATCCATTCTGTTCAAATAATGCCGTTTCCTTTGTAGTGCCGGCCGGCAAATGCAACCACCTTTACACAAAGTTAGATGGACGTACATAATGGGCCTAGGTCTGCCCAATGGTTTTCACGCTTAGTAGTACACGCGCAATATCACGACACAGTTCCATGACCAAATCTGCTAACAATCGACCTCCCACGGCTCTGGTATAGCAAATGTCTATTCCACCCCCAATTGTACAACCTTCATGATACCATTCACGTACCTACCCATGTTTCAGCACATCTGTCAACACCTCCTGGGGCGTGTACAGGATTTGTACCAGGGGGGGGGGTCTAACCGTAACCCAAACTTGCCCCCAGAAATTTTTTGAAATTAGACCCCCTTAGATGCGTTTTCTGCGCGAGCAGGGGGGGGTCCGGACCCCCTGGACCCCCCCCCCTGTACACGCCCCTGAGTCCTCTCAGACTAAAATACATCTTGCTATGCACAAATGCATTTATCAGTAGAACACCAGACATCAGATGAGCCCTGTCACACGGCGGCACTTGTTTAGAAGAAATGACACACACCTATAAACCATTTATTGTTTGCTGTAATCAGAACAAACATTTCATAGCTGGTTGAATAGTTATGCAGGTAATGAATTAAAAATGCAAATGTACTTGATCTGTAGTGTAGTAGTCGTAGTTGTCATACACGTGTACAAATTGAATTAGGCCTACTGACCTGTATAAAACGATGTGTAAAGAAATTGTTTTAGTTGGCCTTGTTTTTTTAATTAGAAGCAGGGTTCGTATGAGTTCTAGAAAACTGGAAAGCTTTGGGCCTCTGTCAGAAATAGTTATCAAATGTCATAACTTTTTTACAAGTTGCGTGTGCAGATGATGGCATAGCTATTTATGTCAACATGCCTCTGAAATTTAAAAAAACATCCGGTCTAGACAGTCCTTGAAAATAGGCTATGGTTGTGGAAAGTACTGAAAAATTGGCTATTACGTTTGGTCCTAGG